TTGTTTTAGAAGGATGGTAAGGGAAGATTACTATTGTTTAAACAACACATTAAGCAAATTAGGATCTGATTTTATGAAAAATCAAAGTTTAATCTTTTATTACCTCCTAATCCAGGTCTAAGACGATTATCATAACCATCCAGAAGTCTGTCCAAAATTCTTGTAAAGATGGTAATATTGTTCTTGGCTTCATCTTCCTGGGAGTCAGCCAGCACTGATCTAAATGGACATTTTACATTTTACAATCTCATAGAAATGTTTTACAAACATTCAATATGCAGTTGTTATAGACTAGCTTTGAATTTTCAGTTGTTGCCCACTGATTATCTGTGTGTTCCTATTCATGCCACCTTTTTCTTATAAAACATAAATTCTGGTGTATTCTGAAAAAATTCTGTAGTTTCAATGTATAAACATGCACAAATTACATATTAAAACAATGGCTCATAAACATGTGAGTCTAAGAAACATACCTTCAGATTAGAAATACTTAAATATCTAAGAGTCTTTATTTTCAGCATATATTAAAACATACTAAATACTGTTTCCTAAAAGCTTTGTTAAAAATTGATTATTCAGGGAGAGAAACCTAAAAGAACATCATGGTGCTTCAAACCACTTACGGATTGGTTCACTCTCTATCTAGCTGCTGGACTACTCTGCTCTCTTCCCTCACCCCTGCATATGCTATCTCTTGAATAGATATTGTGGGTATGCCTCCACCCAATGGTCATATAATGTACATAACCAGAAGTACTGAGGTGAAGGAAAACTCCAGTGATCATGCTCAGGGAGTCCTCTGATGTCAATGCATAGTAGGTGGCACAATGAAAATGATTAGCAGCTGGCATGCTAGAAGGTAACTGTGAAGTACCTAAAAGATTTGGTGGTTTTAACATGGTACTTAGAAACAATTTTTATTTAGGAAAAAAATCTCTCTCTTTTTTTAACGTTCTGCCAGATCCAGATGTCTCTTGTAAGAGTTCCAGATCACAAAAGAACCTGTCAAGGAAAGTCTATAGGTCATCCAAAATTGTCTTAAAATTCGCTTCTGAAAGATCGACCTGTTTGGGAAACACCGATAATTCCAAATAAATGTGATTCAACTGTCTAGCCAATAATGGAATGAAAAAATTACCTGGGCTGGAAAAGCCAAATCATGGCTTTGCATGCTTTTGGTACCTCCTCCTACACAGAGCCGTAACATGTCACAAGTCAAATGTTAAGCAATCATGTATGTGAAGGACAAGGTATTCAAACATCTCATTTCATAGCAACATAAAGTATTCTGGCAGTAAAATAACATGTACTATATACATTATCAGTTTACACCATTTGTAACAATCTATAGGATTCTTTTTTTTAATTTAAATACTTGTATTTTGTAACTGTTGATTAAGGTATTCCGAATGAACAATCCTGCTATAAAAACGACCATATTTTGTCTGATCTAAAGCATAAGCTTTCTTCAGATGACACATTGTTTTCTTAACAAAAACAATCTTAAAAATAACAAAAGCAGAATTTTATTTTGGCCCCATAATTCAACATTATGGAGTATTTACATGTAAATTATTGCAGTCGGTGCTTTCTAAGACATTTCCCATATAAAACAAACAGTCAGTTAATTTACAAACTAAACACTAAGATGTTACATGTGAATTTCCACAGAGCTTTTAGTCTTACTTAAGATTATCATGTGTTGAGAGGCAGGCAAGCAGACAGAGACAGAGAGAATTACTACCATTTTAATTTTTTTTTCCAAAATCAGAAGCGTCTTAAAATCAAGATGCCACTGAAAATCCCATTTTAGTTAATTATACTACAGTAAACTCTAATCCTGCCATTCTTATTCACCTGAAAGGGCCTTAATTACGCACATACTCTTGTTGACGTCAGTGGGATTACTCACATGAGTAAGGATTGCAGGATAAGGCCCACTGTGACTCAACTAACACTGCACCATAGTTGGTTGTAAAGTAAGACAGGGAACCCATTTTAAAAGATTATTTAATTCTGGTCATTGTGAGATATCCAGCAGAAAATAAGTACGGGGATTTTCAGCAGCATGAGACTCACGTTAAGTGACCTGATATGCCTATCATTCTGAAAATCATATTAGCCAGAAGACCAACTGCGGTCAGAATTGAAACAACTAAAATGAAGTTACAAATTGCAATTAATTGAATGTTTAGGCAGTGTAGACGTCACATAAACTAATTGCATGTTAAAAATTACTTTCTATTATGTTGTCACTTAGACATGGAGATGTCTAAACAACAATATGAAAAAGTTGATTAATAAACCAAGCTATTGTTTTATTATATGTGATTGTGAAGTTGTGTACTATCTCCACCTAGAGGTTTCAAGCTTTAGTATCATTTTATTCTTGTTATATTGGCCAACCCTCCCCCCCCCCCCCCCCAAAAAAAAAAAAAAAAAAAAAAAACAAGCCCATGCTCAAAAATGCCAACATTATTTTAGAGGCTATGGTCTGCTATTTGACTTCACAACTTACTGCTTTTTTTATGATTCTGTTGCTTCACCTGCACTATTGTTTTATGTGATTAGCTTATAATGTATACTGACAAAAGAAAAAAAAATGTACAACTCAGATTGTAAAAAGAAAGCATTGAATGGCATTTTTCCTTTCAAATGCTAGAATGAGAAATGTCAATTCAAAATTGCAGCAAATTATTTTAATCCTACTATGAACTTTACATTGTTGATGAACCACTGCAATTGCTCTGGAAACCATGAAATACAGTACTGAAACACCAAACGCAGATTTTTTTTAAACATTGCAAAAAAAGCTTCAGTAACCCCTTCCATCCAGGGCAATAAACAGATCGCAATATAACACACGTTTCTGTGGAAGAGCAATAAGAAGCATCCTTCTCACCTTGTTGGCTCCCACACCAATAAAACGAGAAGAACCAACTGCATCTCGGAGAGTGTCAGTCTCCTCTTCATAGCTGCCCTTCGCAATACCTAACGATGCAAGAAAAAATACAAAGCCACTCAGAGCTTACAGCCAGCTTCTGCCACCGCTTTCAACTTAACCAAATGAAAAATGTGTGTCACTTCAATGGAGAATGGAGACCATTGGCTTTCTGCAGCACTTTTCCCTACTAGGAACTTATATCTCCAGCCTTCACAAGCATCCTGCTTTGGACAGACATGTAAGGCGTAATCAAAAGTGGCATGTGAGCAGATGCCTCAGACGCCTTTTCTCTTCTGGAACAGGAACGGCCCCAACCAGACCAAAAAAATAGATAGATAGATAGATAGATAGATAGACAGATAGATAGAGTAATTATTCCTCCTTTCATTACATGGCAATCAAAGGGGGTGAGAAGGAAAAAAAGAAAAGCATCATGCCATTTGCAAAGGACCAGTAACAGGACTGGGAACCAGAGCCATTCAGCTGCTGCCAGAGGCTGCACACGTTTGCCAGCTGTCTCAGAAGAAGGAAAGCAAATCAGAAGAGCCAAAATCGCATCCCAGGCGGGGAGAGGCAACCCCAGGGCAGCGCAAAGTTGCAGAATAAAAGAAGCTGGAGCTGCGGGGGCTCGTCTTGCCTGAGGTTCAGGGAGGGGGCCGAGGCAAGAGCCCCGCCATCCTGCCCTGTGCACCCCCCCAAGACACTCGCACGTCCCGGGGAGAGGGAGCGCTGCGGGGGAGCCTACCTGGGAGCAGCAGGAGGCGCTCGGAGACGCAAAGGCTTTTTTTGTTGTTGTTGCGAAGGGGAGGTGGGGGCGTGGGAGGGGGGCGCCTC